CAATGCAAAGAAATAAAGGAAAATAACAGAAAAGGAAAAACCAGAGATCTGTTCAGGAAAATTGGAGATATTAGAGGAACATTTTGTGCAAAGATGAACATGATAAAGGACAAAAATGGGAGGGACCTAACAGAAGCAGAAGACATCAAAAAGAGGTGGCAAGAATACACAGAGGAATTATATCAGAAAGATTTGGATATTCCGGATAACCTTGGCAATGTAGTTGCTGACCTTGAGCCAGACATCCTGGAGAGTGAAGTCAAGTGGGCCTTAGAAAGCCTGGCTAACAAGGCCAGTGGAGGTGATGACATTCCAGTCGAACTATTTAATTATATCAGAAAGATTTGGATATTCCGGATAACCTTTGGAATGTAGTTGCTGACCTTGAGCCAGACATCCTGGAGAGTGAAGTCAAGTGGGCCTTAGAAAGCCTGGCTAACAAGGCCAGTGGAGGTGATGACATTCCAGTCGAACTATTTAAAATCTTAAAAGATGATGCTGTTAATGATGCCAGCAAGTTTAGAAAACTCAACAGTGGCCAGAGGATTGGAAAAGATCAGTCTACATCCCAATCCCAAAGAAAGGCAGTGCCAAAGAATGCTCCAACTATCGTACAACTGCACTCATTTCACACACTAGCAAGGTTATGCTCAAAATCCTACAAGGTAGGCTTGAGCAGTATGTGGACCGAGAACTCCCAGAAGTACAAGCTGGATTTCGAAGGGGCAGAGGAACTAGAGACCAAATTGCTAACCTGCGCTGGATTATAGAGAAAGCCAGAGAGTTCCAGAAACTGGGATGAAAGAACATAAAAAGCAGGGTTCATTGCAGGTTCCTAGGACATTCACTACCAGTATTACTACTATATAAAGTATGAAACAAAGGTCATATATAGTTTTAGAGAAAATTAAATAATTCAGTGAAATCAATGGAACATCTCATGACTTACACAATCCTATTGATTTCAGTGGGTTGATACATCCAGTACATGAACAGATTATCTGTTCGAACAATGCATCATGCAGGCTTTAAGTAATATAACTCATTTGTTTACTCAGAGCATTTTAATATCATTTCAGCCAGGGTGGATTTGATTTAAAATCATGGTTTAAATTATTTAAAAAATTGATTTTTAATGATTTAAATCAATTTGATTAAAAAGACATCATTGATTTTTATCCACTCTGCTTTTCAATTAACATTCTTTTCTAGGTGATAAGGAAAATCTATTCCATTATTGCACGTGAAAACCAGTGAAAATAGAGGCCACTGGTAGACCGTGCAAACAAGACTGAGGATGGAAAATACATACTGCTTCTGTATGTGTGTTTGTGGATATGCATATATAAGTGTACACTAGATACAGGCTGGAATCCTATGGGTGTGTGAAATGTAAATCCCAAATTAAGCAATGGTGTTGTTCTGACTGTCTGCTACACACTCAGATGTAACCAGGTCATGCACTCATTCATTCGTCTGAATATATAACAGACGGCGAGAAAATGGAAAAAAGCACCCTTATTTCCTTTCACAATATGATTCTAGCCACTGTATTACATACTACACATATCTATGTGTGTTCATGAGACCCAAGAAAACATTGCACACTACAATATTGAAACAACTCATGCTTCAGCATGGATTTTCATAAAATGAAAGGTTTGGCAAAGTTTCCTACAACCAGATGAAAAATCTTATTCTGAGAAATTCATGATGCTCTCACAATCCAGTATCATGGTCTGCATCTTATTTATTAGGCATCCTTCAGTCTCGAGAGACTATGGTAACATGCTCTATACGGAGGACTTTGACGCTATATGCGTCGCTGGTTCCAGTGACATCGCAGGGGCTGCCAGAACGACATGAACTGCCTCCGGGACTCTGGCTCCAGATTTTGCCTCGAGGTTAACTCCTGAAGCCTTTTCCATCAGTGGATATAGCCACAAGGCAGTGGAGGTTTGAAATTGGAGTTTTCCTTCTCCTAGATCGGCTGCCTTCCAAGGCTGACGAGCCCCACCTACCTGGCTCTGCATCTTAATGCTCCACATATTTAGAAGACAAAACACTGTGAAGTCTAAGTCTTCTATGGCCAGAATTTAGCTTATACCTGTATTTAAGATATGTGGCAACTGGGTAAACAGTTCATGAGATGAAGGTGCATCTCAGGTATCTATGGTCATTTTATTTAATTTAAATAAAATATATTTGTATTTGTATTTGTATTTGTATTTGTGTGTGTGTGTGTGTGTGTAAATAAGTTATGCAACCACCTACGTATGTCCACCACTATATTTAACCAAATGTGTAAAAACACTTTTTGAGTCAGACATACTTAAAGATAGTTAGCAGCTGCAAGCAAAGTTCCTCAAAAACGATAAAAGCTGAGGTACAGATTGGTTAAATTGTGTTTTATCTTCATCACATAGTAGGACACAAAGTCCCTTGCTTGAAATACATTCCAAATAAATATAGAAAAGAGAGATAAGACACCATTAATACAGGTATAAACCAACAACAGAATATTACATTTTTTTAATGAGAGCCAGTGGTACAAGTTGTATCCCTACCTACAAATAATTTCATTCAATACCCAACACTGTTCAATTTGCAACACATTTGTCATCTTTATCAAATGGCTGTAGTTGAAATTTATAAACTCCTTTGCAAATTAAATTATTCTTCATCAGGGAAAAAACACTGATGGAATTATTAAAATGTAAAATATTTGTATTCCAATGTAAGATGTGGGTGTTCATTTTATTTACTATCTGAGATAGTGAGAATTAGTTTTAACTATTACATAGTTTGTATATACAATAAAACAGTGTATTACCTCATAATCATATATACACACTACCTTTGTATATCCTGCCTAAAATAAATAAAATATATTTTGTCATCAATAAATCAGTGTAACTTAGCACCTGATACATCTCAACATTTTTTATTAACCAACTCAGGTAAGAAGAACATGCACTCAATTGCCACACAGTTTCTTCATTATAGGGCTATCAGCTGGAGCATTGGTGAAAATGCTTCCTACCACCACATGTGTCCCCCAGAGATTATGACGAATTACTTTACAGCAGCCAAGGTCTTCCACAGAGAATCCTAAATGGCGATAGCGTTCATCAGTTTCAAAAAGGGTGTTGTTTGTGTAAGGGCCAAAAAACTGAAAGTGGAAAAAAAGTGAAATTTAGGATCTATTTGTAGTATTCTTATATACAGCCCAAAATTGGATATTTAACTAATTCTAAGTCCAAACATAAAAGTTTTGAATGTTAGTCCATGTACATTTTCTACCTTAAACTTCTGCACATTTTTATAGAGGAGCAATTATACTATACAGTGGTGCTTTGCTTAACAGGCGCCCTGTTTAATGACGAAATCGCATAGCGATTAACTTTTTGCGATCACTTTTGCGATGTTCCCTATGGGGAAAAATTGCTTTGCGATGATCGGTACCCTGTTTCGCTTACCAATCATCGCAAAGTGATGATTTTTTAACAGCGGATCGGTGGGTCCAAAATGGCCGCCGGGTAAAAAAAAAAAGGCCGCCAGCTGTTTTCTGGGACGCTTACCGGGCAGCGAAAATGGCTGCTGTATGGAGGATTTTCGCTTAAAGGTGAGTCTGGAGCCCATAGGAACCCATTGAAGGGGTTTCAATGCATTCCTATGGGCTTTTTAATATTGCATAGCGACGAAATCGCTTTGCAGCGATTTTTGCTGCACCAATTCTCATCGCTATGCGAGGCACCACTGTATTATCCTCACAGAGTGGCAAGAGTTTCCTTGCAGGATTAAACAGACTCCACTGATCCATTCCTTTGATGTGAAACTATCATGTTCCTAAGTCCTCTACTGTGAAATTGCAGCTTTCAAGGGGCAATAGCATTGGCCATATTACAACAGGCTATTATGTACAGCCTAACAGAGCTTCAATGAAACCAGTCAACACGCACTAGTAAAAGTAACAGAAAAGCCATATATAACTTCAGTGAAAAAAATATAGTGGCCAAAATCCTGTTGCATGGCTACATCTCTGCAAAAGCTGAGCTGGAAGTGCAATCCCTGAAGCATTTCTATTGATCCCTTTGAAGATGGCAGCAGTGGTGGAGGCAGCAAGACCAGGTAGGGAAGCAAGCGAGCAGCAGGAAGGGGGTGGGTAGCAAAAGGGGCCAGGACAGTAGGATTCTGTTCTCCCACGGCATGAACTGGTTCTTTTTTCTAGGGGTTCGGGATAGTTCATGAGTAGCCACAATCTATGAACCATCACAAACCACTGGCCTTCTGGTTCATGCTCATCTCTACTGACCAGTATTAATAATTCTTTATGCTTTCATCTGACTAGGCTTTCAAACAGTTTTGATCTGGGGACTCAGAATCATCATTGAGGCAAACAAGCAAAATCATGGTATTTTTAACAGATCAGAAATAATACTGATACGGTTGCACATGAGCAGATCTTCAGAGGAGTATCTTGAATATCAACCATTCATAACATATCATATTCCTGTCCTAAAAGAACCATGTTTATTTCTTACGGGAGCAAAAAGCATCCAAACCAAAAGAAAAATGAAAAACAAAAAACACAACTGCAAGAACTAGCACGCCATAATACCTTGTTTCCCTGAAAATAAGATGTAACCTGAAAATAAGCCCCAGTATGATTTTTCAGGATGCTCGTAATATAAGCCCTACCCCCAAAATAAGCCCTAGTTGAGTGAAACCCTGCCCTCCACCATTGTGCAGCAACCAGAAGATGACAAGGCTATATTTGAATAAATATAGATGGTGGTTCATGAAAAAAAACACCTGAAAATAAGCCCTAATACATTTTTTGGAGCAGAAATTAATATAAGATCCTGTCTTATTTTCAGGGAAACACGGAATCAGAAAAGAAAAGGGAGACCCAGTCATAAAGCTTGTTAAGAAACCTTGGGCCTGTTGCTCTCTTGGCCTAGCCTACTGCAAATGGCTGCTATGAAAATAAAAACAAACAATGAGAGCGATGAGCACCATTTGACATCCTGGGAGGAAAAGTAGGCTACATGTGCAATAACTAAAAGCAAAACTATCATTAACAAATAAACAGCTTTGCATTTCTGTGTTCTAGTAATTCTTCAGGTGATAACAGTTTCTACTATGCTGATTCTACCCCTTACATTTCTTGAAACTTGCAACTGGCCTTCCATTTTGGCAACTGATAATTTGATTTGGCAACTCTGTTTTTGAAGGATTGTCCTCCAATTTGTTCTTTGATTTTGCACTGTTACAACTGGGAAGCCTCAGAGGACGAACAAGGTGTGATTCACAGTTGTAAATAAAATGTAGTCTTTTTTTCTCATTCGGTGATTGACATTTTTATTTATTTATTTTATTTATTTATTTGATTTATACCCCGCCCACCTGGTCTTCCAACCACATTTTCATTTGATGAATGGAATACAGTGGTGCCTCGCTTAATGGGTGCTCCATTTAGCGACAAAATAGCGACTTTTTCGGAGCGTTTTTGCACTTTGTTTAGCGATGGTCCCTATGGGTGATTTTCGCTTAGCGATGGTTGGGACCATGCTTCGCATAGCGATTAAATTTTGGGTCCCCTGTTTCGCTTAATGATGGTTTAAACAGCCTCATGTTTGCTGTTATTTATAAAGTTAAAGTTTACTGTTTAAAATGTTTGAAATCATAAAGTGCACTTAATAAACCCTTTGTTAACCAAATTTGACTTTGCTCTGACTCTTTTTTAATTTGTTGTTTTATTTTCCCCCCATTGAGATGCATTGAATAGGTTTCAATGTATTTCAATTGGGGAACCGCATTTCGCTTAGCTATGTTTCCTGTGGCGATTTTCGCTTAAGGACGGAAATTCGTTCCTATTGGAACGGATTATCCGATTTTCAATGAATTTCAATGGGAAACCGCGTTTCGCTTAGCAATGAAATCGCTTAGCAGCGATTTTTTTGGAATGAATTAACATTGCTAAGCGAGGCACTACTGTATTGAATAAAATAAAATGCCAGGTACACTCTGGTACATGACACAGCTGAAGGGCAAGAAAAGCTGGCACATGCATTTAATGGAAAGCATTCTAGAGATGAATTTAGATGGCCATATAAACAGCGTCAAGTGGAACCAGGAGAAACAACAAGCAGCAGTAACATTCATGCTGCATTGCTAGTTTAACTCAGACTAATGGTGTCCAAATCTGTTCTTCATACCATGCTTTGGTAGAAATACTTACTGGCAGTCCTGATGTTGGGTCAATGAAATCTACCCAATAACCTTCAGCACTTAAAGCACAGCAGATTTCCTTGGCACCATTGATAAACTAAGGAAAAGAGAAAAGGTAAAAATACTAAGAGCACTTTTACAGCTAGTAAATGTTACTTTTTTCCTTCTCCAAAGCAATGTGAAAGTGAAAATAGATCTAGTAGAAAAATCTGAATGACAGCACTAATAAGATTAAAATTAATAACCTATATTGAGATACTATGGTCACATGAAGCTTAGAAGAAATTCTTTGTGCTGGGCCGTAAACGATTAATAGCTTTGAAAAATAAGGATAATAACTGCTTTGATTGCTCATGTGAATTGCAGTGTCATACTTGTCAAGTTCTTTTTTAAAAATAAAATTTTATTTAAAAAAAACCTGCATCTTTCCCTCAAACATTATCCATGTCTATATTACCTTACATTTGTTTCCTGTGCTCAGATCTCCAACAGGTAGATAAATAAAGCAAAAGGTGGATTACAAGGGTAATAAAATCATTTCTCAAAACTACTGGTAAGTAAATTATTGTCAAAGTAGATGTATACCTATTTCAACTCAACAACTCATACCATCCACCAGACAATGAACTGCTACAGCTCTCTAATTCACTGATACACCCTAAATGTTCTAAGAAAAGTTACTGCATTTGATGTTTCAGTAAAATACCCAATAAAGGGACTAAACACTTCTGGTTATGTTCAAATAGTGTGATGCAATAAGGGGAAATTTTGACCCAAAATCATTTGGCCACATGTGGACATAATAAGCCAAGATATAAACGTTGCTCCCATATGTAACTCCTCTGCAACATAATTAAACATGTCTCTAACTAATAAGTTTCCTGATCTGCCTGAATTCAGAAATTATTATTACCAGCTTTGGAATCAACCAGAATATTAAAGCTTTAAACACCTCCACAGGAGTTAAATGAATCAAATTCAATAGGGTTTCATTCTGAACTGATCTGTCAAGAATTGCATAGCAAATCACAGTTCAATATTGGTTCAAAATCCTGTTTTTTTCACAAAATGTTGATCACAGTTTTTCAGTTTTGACGAAAATACTGTGATTAATTTTAACTGGTCACACGGCATGACCAAAAGACTTATTAATACAGTGGGTGATGAACTAAAAATTTTTGTAAAAACAAAACAAAACTTCCAAGATCAATGAAAATGGGTTGCCATTATAGGTTGTATAGAGTAGAAGGCAGCTGGCAAAACCACCACATACAGATCTATGTAGTCACTGCTTCAGTGTCAGGAGGCATAAAGAGAATATATTACTTGAGACGTTCAGATTAAATACATATACGCATCGACATACATAAACACACATTATTTAATCATAAGAACTTCTACAATTAAAGCTAACACAAGTATCTAATTCATGTATTTCCAAATGGCAAGTTTGATCTGGAATATCCCAGTCTTTTACACTAAGTCACACTCGTTTACTTGGAATAAAAAAACCAAACCTGTTATCTTTGTCCCTTGAAGTACGTAACCCAATGATCCTGACAATGAATCGTATAACACAGGAACTGATTGAGATCATGTAACACGACAACTTTAGATACGTCATGGGCCTATTTCTTCGAAGTACTCTAAAGCTCAAGAGATCTAACGATCTGTCTACTTTCATTTCCAACTGTCAAGAGGACACAAGAAATCTACACAAAAAGACGCCTTATGGACTGGAGTCTTTTGATCCTGGTTTGTTACAATATGACAACAGCTACTCGGAACTGGTATTAATTAGAACAACTTGAGTCTTCAATACTGCAACACCTTCCTTTGCCTGCAACTAACTCTCATTATTTTTGCCCAAGTCTCTCATGTTAAGTTAGTTCTCCTGAACTTGTTTCAGACCATCCACAACGAAAACAAATAGACCATTCTATTGTGAATTTGCTGTTAGTAACCTTTAGGCCAGGAGGTTACGTCTACCATCCCAACACCCCTACAGTGAATGTATTAGAATTGACAGGAAGGTGCACAAGGAAGGAGGAGGACAATTAAGACGTAATTAGACCAGATTACAATGGCAAAGACCAACAGACCATAACTAACATAGAGACGAGGACATGCTACAACGGAGTTTTACTTTGTATGCACTTTTCATGGCAATAATTGAGCACTACATGTTTCCCAATCCTGGACAATCTTAAACAATATAAAGGCTATTTGCAATTGCAAAAGGTTTACACTAGATTTTGTTACTACTGAACACTTATTACAAAATTCTTCAGGATGAAAGGAAAAAACATTAAACCTACAATTTAAAAGTTACTTTCAAAAATAATATTGTATGGGCAAAAGTGTCAGTAAACAAGTACATTGATTAAGCTGTAATTCCTCAAAACTCCTATCAAACATTTAAGCCTGACCTCTAGTGGCAATTTTGCATAAAATCAGTTGGAGAAAACTAAAAACAAGATTGATTTATAATCAAGTACAAACAAGCTCTGGAATAAACATTAGTTTAGTAACTTGAAACAAAAGATTTAGGCTCTTACCCATGTGGTCTTAAACACTGAATATGCATAAAATACATTAAGTTTCTCTTATACAATCTTGACAAATTTTAAACATAATGTTCAAGTGCTACCCAAGTGCCCAAATTCTGAGTACTTTGGTAACACTGACTCACAGTACCACAATATGACTTTTAATAAACATCCACATTTGGAGTAGGCTCTGCAATCTTACAAGCATTCTAGCAAGTTTCACTATGTTAGTTTAGCAAACCCACATGTCTATCTTAAATGGAACATATATAATTCTTCCATAGTAACAAGGTAGGAAAACTTACATTTTCTATCAGAACTTCTCGCTCATTTTCTACCTCCTCACTCCATGCAGTCATATCATTTATTGTTTTCTGCGTTACTGTTAACACTGTCATATTATTGCAAGCTACATCTGGAAATAGTGACTCGAAATCTGTAAAGAATAAAATGGATCAATGGCACGATTTAGATAATTTTTACAGTTGTTTTACTCCCCTCTAATGCTTCAGTGTATAATTAAGCAGAGAAAAATAAATCATGGTACTATTCATCAATTAACACACACAATGAAGATGCATCTATGCCTGAAAGGGTTATGAAAACCTGCTGGGCAAAATGCTTTTGCTCACATACAGAAATATGTCTTTAAAAATAAATAAATAAAGTAAGTAAGTAAGTAAGTAAAACAAGAGATAATTAATTCAGCATTAAAAAAAAAATAAATAAATAAAGTAAGTAAGTAAGTAAAACAAAAGATAATTAATTCAGCATTAAAAAAAATACTCCTCACTGGATCTAGCATATGTACTCCTGTGAAATTTTCATCCTTAAAAGTTTAAGAGACAATTAAATTAGAAAAATAGGGTGGAGGACATCTATACCTCTGCGTAACAGTTCTGGGCATGTCTGTACTGCACATTCTACCTTTGCTGTTTCAAAGTACTTCTTGGCATTATTAACTTCATGTTGTTTTTGGGCAGCATCATTGCTCTGAAGTAAGAAAAATAGGTAATATTCAGATTTACATAAATACTGGTTTGTATCATTTTGATATTGGTGGAGTATAATATTTTGTGCCAGCTTCTGAAACCTTTGGGTCACTAAAAACCCTTCCAGCCAGGATAAACATAAGGCTATTTCTGACAAGCTGTGGGCCATCAGCACACTACTACCACAACAACTGATCTGCAGCCGTGCATGAGCACAGGCTGCTAATTTTGAAATGCAGGATGTGAGTAGAATTATGTGGTAAAGTTCAAAGATCTGTTCTATGGCACATTCAAGAATAATGGTTTCATCCTACAAAAAAGGACAGCAATGCTACTGACACATGACAAATGCCATTTTATTGGCCCAAATTGCTCCTTCTGTATTTATTAAGATACGGCACTTGACGGGTAGCAAAATATGATGTATATCCCTTTACTTACCTTTGGGTAGAAAACTGACTAAGAGTGCAGTCCACTACATATTTTTAAGAAGAAATGCTTAAAATGGTATTTCTGGAAATTCAAATATGGCCTTCAACAATATTGGTCTAAAGCTAGTCCTAACTAGAGCAGCCCCACTAAGTCATTTTGATTTACATAAGTGTTGACTCACTATTCAGCAACGGAGTTCTTGTTGGGACTAACAATTTGATCTAGGCCATTATTGGCCATCACCTAACATAATCCATACATGACTTTTTAAGTTGGAGAGAGTCAGTGACTCCCAAACTACCACAGAGTAGCAGTTAGCAAGGAAGAAAACCCAAGCAGAGTACTTTGCTATTGACCTATATTCTTACATCAGGCTAGATCTGGTATCCTCTAGATGTTTTTAGACAAGTTTCCAGAAGTCTTCTTAGACAGCACACCCGTACAGGCTTGTGTCCACTCTTGTCTTATCTAATCTGATAGCTGTGACCCAAAGTACAAAGGCTATTATGTAGTTGCCACACTGATTATTTTATCAATCAACACAAAACAAAGTGATTCTGAAAACAGATAAGCTATTAATAGGCATCAAATTCTTTGCTGATGTTGCTCCATGTTATTACAATACTATGTAGTGGTGCCTCGCTAGACGATGATAATCCGTTCCACTAAAATCGCTGTTTAGCGAAATCATTGTCTAGCGAAAAGCATTTCCCCACTGGAATGCATTGAAACCTGTTTAATGCGTACCAATGGGGAAGAATCATTGTTGTCTAGCGAAGATCAGCCATAGGAAAGCCGCTTTGCGAACCGCCGATTAGCTGTTTAAATCGCTGTCTTGCGAAGCTTAGGTCCCCAAAACACCTGTTTGCGAGCACGGAGGGAGCTGTCAAAATCGTCGTCTAGCGAAAATCGGTTTGCGAAGCAGGGACAAAACACTGTCCAGCGAAATTCCCCCATAGGAATCACTGTTTTGCGAATTGCTATAGCGATCGCAACAAGCCAATGTCTAGCGAAAAAACTGTCATGCAGGGTAACTGTTTAGTGAGGCACCACTGTACTCTCTTCATGATTTCAAAATAGATAATGAGTCACTGTTCAAAGATACAGCCTGAACTAGTCTCCCTGCTTATAACAGCTGAGGAGGAAGAGTTTAACCTCACTGCTGTGCAAATAGGCCAGGAAGACATGTTTAGGAAAGTGGAAACATTGGGGGGGGGAGTGTGGGAATCACTATCAAGCCAAATATGGTGGGAGATTTCACTCTGGCCATTACATGAAAAGGAAGGCAGACTGTTGGCTGGCCTTCCCTTCTTTCAGTTTGGAATCTAGCCAAAGAAGCCATTGTGACACCAAAGGTGTCCAGGCTAAAAATCCCGCTTTTTAATGTCAAATTGGTTGCATGAAAATCTTCAATCTTCCAAGATTTGATTCAGGATAAAGGTGCTGAGTTGGCTTGTATCACAGAGACCTGATTGAGAAAAGAAGGGTAAGTCTGTCTCCCTCAGCTCTGTCCACCAGGCTGTGTGGTACACTAGGATCAGGCTGGAGGGCAGGGAGGTGACATGGCTGCAGTCTATAAAGCTCAGTCTCACTAACCAATGTTCCATCTAGTAGCCAGGCAATTCTGAATGCATGTTTTTGTGGGACAGTGTTGGGATTCTGCTGATATATAATCCACCTTGCTGCCCAAGAATCTTCCTCTGTGAGCTATGCAGAGTGGTCTCTGTTGTGGCGCCGATGTGCCCCAGGCTTATGGTTGTATGTCGTTTGCGGGTGCACTGCCACTTCCTGGCACCGATAAGAAGTGTCTTTCCACAACCCCACCTAGTGAGCCAGCTATGACCCTTGCAGAGCTGACCTCACTTAGCAACATTCATCCACACCTTAGTTACATCACATCTGACTCTATGTGGAGCTACCATTGAAGAGAGACTGGGATCTTCAACAGATGTAATATGTGGCAGTCAGGCTGCTAGGTGGTACACAGTATGGTGATCATATGGCCCTGATACCGAAAGATCTGCACTGGTTGCCAATTGCTGACTGGTCACAATTTAAGGTATAGGTTTTAACATTTAAAGTTCTAAGAATGGCTTAGACCTGGCTATCTAAGAGACTGCCTGTCCCATTATGAGCCTGAAGCTGTTCAGGAGAGGTCATCTTTAACATCCCAATAGTTTCAGAAACCTGGCTAACAAGTATGTAGGAGCGGACCTTCTCCTGCATAATTCTTGGCAATTGAATACACTCCCTTTGAAGTTGCAATTAGTTTTCATTCTGACTGCTTTTAAGAAAGGAGTAAAAATACTTTTTTAAAGATAGGCTTTTGATGTATACAGTAACTTGTCCTGTAGTGCTGTTTCTACTCTGTATCCTTTGCAATTTAAGTGATTCTTTTTTAAAAAAGTATTTGGATTATTTTTATGGTTTTTCTGGAGGAATGCTTTGTATCATTTTATTTAGGTTTTAGCTGACTGCTGGTCATCTCTGTTGTTTCTTCTAAAAATTTTGTAAGCTGCCTTTTTCTGAAAAAGTGAAATATAAATGTAATAATAAATGTAGTGTCTGAATATGGTAATAGAACTCGAGAGTGCATAGTATGTAAGTATACCATAAGTTCTTTGTACAATGCATACAGTATTCTTATCTTCAAAGGTGTCAGGTATAGCCTCCCATATTTCCCACCTGATCCAAGCATTTCAATTCTTACCTTGAATTCACTGATATATTGAGCCATCACAAATTCATGCCTTTCCCCTGCCATGGGCTCCGCTAATATGTCAGGCAGTTTTTTATGAACCTGTCTTGTCTGCTGAAATGCTGTACCATTGACGTGACAGTCAAAGCCTATATTACCAGGTAGCTGAAACCTCTGATCCTGAGGACCAAAAGGTCCCATCACTTCATCTGGCCACACAGTTCTTGGACCTGTTGAAAGTTAAATATGTGATTGATATCATTTGTAACTGACAAACATTTTTGCAGTCTACTCCATAAAGCTAGAGCTACAATTCAATTAGAAAACCAAGGAAGGCAATCCCACTGATCTCAGTAGCACTGAGTTTAATGTAGTACAAAATACTGACAAATCAAAGTAGCTGTAATTGACACTCCAGACAGATAGTATTTTTGGCAACTATTAATATGAAATAAATTATTGGAATTTTCCTTACATAAATCGGGAGGTGTAGCAGCAACAGAAGGCTCATCTGAGCCAGAGGATCCTGCTGTGGAAAAAGCCTTTGGAATTACAACCCTTCTAACCAAAGAATACAATCCTGGCAGGTACGTCACGAGTCTAGATCTGTTACAAAGCACCTAAAGGAGACACAAAAAGAACTGAATATAATACAGGTTGCATATGAAAATGATGCCTTTTTTTCCCCAGGGGTCCGGGATCCTTTAGTTGCATTCTGAATCTTAGTTTTCTATATTACCAATTTAATGCATTTTCTTTCAAATATGGCTTAAATTTTAGTGGGGAAAATTTCCCATGCAAGAAGCCCCACAATATGTAACACATGGTCAAACTGTTGATCTTCGGTACCAATTATTATCACTTATTATCTAAAGAAAAAAAAGTCAAATATGCACACAGAAAGTGGTCAAATGTTTGCTAAGCAAAGCATATTGAAAGAAATAATAAATGTGTATGCCTGGTCCTCATTCTGGCAAGGTTAGCTAAGCAGAGGACATAAGTTAGTTCTGCTGGTTTATCTAGAGATAACACATTTCCCTCTGTGAAGCTAGCCAGCTAGTTTAGCATAAGCTTGATAACATTTTGTACTCTGGGGCAAAATTCAGCATTGGCACCATGCTGTACTGTACTCACATCTAGACTTACAAATCTCATGACAAAGCCAGAAAAAAAATCTTAAAAACACGAACCACGTGGGAAAATGGCTTCAGTTTTTCTTCCTGACTCTGAAAACAGCCTGAATCAACAGGGTTCAGCTGTGCGGTATCATCTCAGTGTAGTTTTATTCTGAAGCCTAATGACAACAAATGCCAATGTTATTAACTATTTGCACAACTTATCACTTGTGGTCCAATGCTAGTCTTAAAATCACATCCTCGTCGGTACTATTTACAAAACTGTTATGGAATTGCAAAGAAGCTGACATGGCCATCATCTTGCACAGAAGGACACCTTTTGTGACATGCAACCCTTCTTTTGTACAAGAGCAGCACTCCTTCAAAGTTGATCCGTGAAGAGCTGCGTACTGGTGGTACACAAATCTGTAATCCATGGGGACATGGTCAGAGCCCACACTTCTTCTCTTTCTCTGTCACCTCACCCAACTTTCCTCCCTCTCCACCCTCCACTTATAAGATGTTGTGAAAGATCCCACTTGCAGGGACGCGAGCTCATTATCTGTAGGATATGTCTGAAATAATGTAAAAGCCTACCAAAAAATGAATCTGAGGGTTGCAAGTCGCCAACCTCTATTTTACAGACACAATTCAAAGCAGCCCCACATTTGCATTGTTGATTTGCCCCACCCCAAGCTCTGAGTAACTGATAGACTGAAATGAATACTGTATTACTGCAGAAAACAGAATGCCTCATAGTATAACTTAAGCTGTACACTGTTAAGAACCAAGGTAAACATTCAATGGTTTTTAAATCTGATGGAGGATAAGCTTTAGGGCAGGATAAATTTTAAGAAACTCACTCTGAGATATGTGTATCGTCTTTATATATTGGCTTTTACATGTAAGAATTCAGAGCCCTCCAGAGTCCTGGCTTAGAGTACACAAGCAGGACAAAGTAGCCAAAATAACCAGACACTAAGTAGGAGGCAAAACCTTAGTGTTACATCCAAACTGGGACATCTCGCCTGTCAGTCTCAAAGAAGTCAAGAACTGGAAACCAGTTACAAACGATGGTCTCAGATTCTGGCTTGTTAGGGGACTGAAAAAAGAAGAGTCTCCAGGTAGATACAGTACAATGTATGGTTTTGCTTCTTGATTAGTTGACTGCTGGATAAGACCAGGCAACATGCACCAGCACACTGTTAATGAATCCTGGGTCAGGATTACCCAGTATCCTGATTTACTGTTATGTGAGAAAGCAATTATCAGCAAATACTTAGTATTTTTTTCCTCAGGATGGTCTTATGTACACATTATGTAGCACAGCATCAAGTAAGAGGGACTAAAATCCTGGCCTATCTCATGCATGTCACAGTAAAATGTGAAACGTTTCTTCCTGATGAATACAACTGGCTGTAGTGCTAATTTAATTTAAAAAAAAAACAAACAGCTCAGACATCAGGAAAAAAAGTGTCTTGAAACTACAGCTAATATGGATATATATTGTGCACTGAACTATTCTGATTTTCCATTCATTCTCAGCTCCTTGACTACATTAGAGGTAATGCACTAACCCTAATGATTGAAATCATACCTGACACACAAACCCTATTGAGTAAATTATGCCACATAAGGCTGAGGATGTCTTCAGCGATGGCAATTATTTGGAAAACAAATATTTCTTCCCTGGTGGTCTCTAGACTCCTGTGAAATCATTTTTATTGGGATGCTTCTAGAGCAGTGGTCCCCAACCTTTTTGACACAGTGGACTGGTTGGGGAAGATGGGGTCCCCTGCACTCACGCAAATACACGAAGGAGCAGCACTTCCATGCATCTGGGCATTCGCGCGCATGCATGTAGGGCCGAAGGGTACTCGCGCAACACGCACGCACATCTCCCTGTGCCCCTCCAAGTTTAACAGGTTTACAGAGCTCCAACAAATACAAGTTTACTTAAAGTATTCAGAGTTTAGGTATCCTTCAGTCTCGAGAGACTATGATAACGTGCTCTATATGGAGGACTTGGAACAGTGTCTGGTGTGGCTGAGAAGGCCAATTCGATAGTGACAATCTCTTCCACACTGAAGACAAATACAATCTGTTCCCTGACCAGCTCTCTGATTTTGCTGCTTTTGGGACTGTCCCTTTGCCTCGGCCTGCTGGACAAGGGTCTTTTCAAATTGGGAGAGGCCATGATGCACCGGGTGCCCACAGGCTGAATGCACAGATGTCAAGGTTTCCCATCTGTTGAGGTCCATTCCCAAGGCCTTCAGATCCCGCTCGCAGATATCCTTGTATCGCAGCTGTGCTCTCTCTCTGGGGCGATTTCCCTGCACTAATTCTCCAGACAGGACATCTTCTGGAATCCAACTACCAGCCATTCTCATGAGATGCCTAAGCCAATGCAGATGTCGTTGTTTCGGTAATGTATACATGCTAAAAGTTCCAGCTCGTTCTAGGAGTACTCTATTTGGAACTTTGTCCTGCCAGGTGATACCAAAAACGCATTGGAGACAACGCAAATGGAATAAAAATGCATTGGAGACAATGCAAATGGAATGTGTTCTACTTCCTCTCCTGTCATGCACAAAGATTCCAGGACTCACTGCAGTACAGGAGTGTATTCAGAGTGCATTGAAAACATCAATTTTACTGTGTTTTTTTAAGATTATAATCTAATGCATAGATGTTTTAACAAAATAAGAGATTATTTTATCCAACACTCCATGTTAAGCAACAGCACGTTATCTTCAGATTCAGTTCAGTTAACCCATATGTTGCAATCCATAAAATACTGAGACACATGTACTTTTTCTATTTCTATCTTCAGAATAAATGAACTACGGAAGGCACGTTGTTATATCTGAACCCACAAAAGTGGAATTAAAAACAATTATATACACCTGTGTTTCTCTGTATAGTATTTGTAAAATTATAAATTGGTCAATAGTACTTACACTGGCCATTTCCATATATCTTTTTGTTTAAACAGTGATTCTCCCTGCAACAGAGAAACAAATCAGAATGACTATTTAACACACTGGGTCTAAACTGTATATAGCTATATCATAATATGATACAACACTGACTGTGCATCAAAACATGTACAAACATTTTTCAACTGAGAATCTCCATAAACAATTATAAGAACCTGCAGGAAAATGATGTTAATTTGACAGTACCTTTAACAAAAAGGGAGCACACGAAGCACTTTTATAAAATGTGTTTTGAGCACAAAGGAAGTTACAGAACAGGCCAACACTTTGTGCATACCTTTAATGAGATTAATGTTACCATCATATTCATCAAAAGTGTGCATTTCTAACCCTCATACCTCACCCTTATGCCTTATTTCCAATGCAAGCCTAAAGCAATTTCAGCATGATTTTTTTTAAAAGAGATATCCTTCTGTACATTGTTTTTATCTTCTTAATTAAAAGATCTATCCTTATGCTGGCAGAGTACAAACCTTAGCCTGAGTATTAACTGTGGTAAAATCAATTTATTTAAAATTCCAAAATTAAATTCAGAAACGAACTTGTAGTTCTGAGATGTGAATACAAAGTTTGAAACATCTCCTTCAAAATGTGACAGCTGGAAACTCACTTCACTTTTGCTGTTCTTTTAATGTTGGTTTATTTATGATTTTGACAGCAATGTCAATTTCCAAACTTTAGACGTCTAGGAACATTTAATAAGTCATTGGTGATTTGGTGACTCCGGCAATTATGACAATAATGAATGAGAAAGGGGGCCGGGAGTTTGAGGGGGACAACTGTAATACAAAGAAACCAGACTATCACTATTTTTCTGCTCCTGTTTTCTCTTCAGCTGCCACGTTCCTCTTCTACAAACAGCTATTTCTGTCTCTTACTTTATCTGTCAGTCTAATGACTTTGTGTTACTTCCCTCACCCTTGTTTCTTCTGCTGGAGTGGGACATGCGGGGCCATCTTTTATCCAGCTGTTTAAAAAAACATTCGGTAAAACATCTTCACAATAAAGACAACTTTAAAATGTTCAGGTCAAATACCAAGGAGCCTCTAAACAAGGCCAGGGCAGCACAATCCTATCAGGAGGGGGGGGGAACCTTTCTGACTGAAGTCCAGCAGCAACATTTCCGAGAACCACCCCTTCCCTGCTCTCAGAAGCTACCACCAGAAGGTTTCATGTGGCTCACTGCCCAGGAAATAAAAGAAATGTGTGCCACAGCTGTTTGCCCCTATTAAGCCCGCCTTGATCGCCTCACTCAGGGTTTCTTCTGGGGGTCGGTGGTTGGGCTCTGGGATACAAAAGGCAATCCCATATGGAAACTTTTTTAACAGCCCTCCCCCCCGGTATATTTATCTTTTCTATCCCTCCTGCCACAGAGTGATAGAGAAATGACTTGACAAAGTTGGCCTTTGTTTTTCAGGTCGATGCCCTGCGGGGCACACTTCAGAGGCCAAGCGCGTTCAGGGTTTGTGAAACGGAGGGGGAACCTTAAGGCACCGGAAGAAAAATGGCCGGGTTTGCGTGTGTGTTGTGTGTGTGTGTGTGTGGTGTGGGGGTGGTGGG